GAAAGAAAAAAAGGAACAGTTCATACATATAAACTTTGATTATTTTTCAGTAATAATGTGTTTTTAACGACTTAGTTACACTAGTTGATTTTTTAACTTATGGACAGGATGATTAGAAAGAAAACTTCACATATAAAAGAATTATATATTAATAACAACTTGCCCTAAGGAAACTAAATTTTACTAGATAAACATTGAGGATCATAAGATAAACATTGAGGATCATAAGATAAACATTGAGGATCATAAGTTTTACTGGGGGAAGTTTGAACGTGGTACAGGAAGTTTCAAAAACTGACTCACGTGATCAGTATACTTTCCAATCAGCATACGAAGTCTATCTGTGAATGAATAAAAAATACGAGAACATGATTCAAAAATACCATGCACTACGTTCAGTTATTCTCAATGTGCTGTTGTAAGATTTTGTTCCTCTAAGAAAAGTAGGTTTAAAAACATATTAAATATGTTTATATACAGTTTATATACTGTTTAGGAGTTTATATAAAATAACCAAGTTAATATATGTTATTTGTATTTTTCTGCCATTTATAAGCAAAACATTTCGAAAAATTCAAAAATGTTCTAAACGAAATAATATTGGTGACGTTATTTCTTGAAACTCTCTCTTATGAAGTAACTTTTAGATCTCCTATGTTTTTGTTGTGTGGAAACACTTTTCTTTTCTGTTGTGATAATGACCATGTAAAACTATCAGTTTCTATAATGGTAAACATCGGTTTCTGTTGTGATAACGACCATGTAAAACTATCAGTTTCTATAATGGTAAACATCGGTTTCTGTTGTGATAATGACCATGCAAAACTATCAGTTTCTATAATGGTAAACATCGGTTTCTGTTGTGATAATGACCATGTAAAACTATCAGTTTCTATAATGGTAAACATCGGTTTCTACTGTGATAATGATCATGTAAAACTATCAGTTTCTATAATGGTAAACATTCGTTTCTATTGTGATAATGACCATGTAAAACTATCAGTTTCATTAATGGTAAACATCGGTTTCTATTGTGATAACGACCATGTGAAACTATCAGTTTCTATACTGGTAAACATCGGTTTCTGTTGTGATAATGTATCAAGTAAAGCGACCGGTTTCTAGTAATAAAAGGGCATGAAACTATATGTTACTTTGTTACTTTCTGTGGTGTTTTCTGTAAATGAAACCGTTTGTTACAGCTGTCCAGGTTAAAGTATAAAATCAGCTGGTTCTGAGGTGAACAGATGAAAGACCACTTGAGGATACAAGACATTACAAAATCAGCTTATTTTTGTCTTAGTATTTTGTTCTTGGAACTTTAACCACTACATATTCACTTCTATAATCACAACACAGAAACGCATATTAAAATAAGTTTATTTGCAAGAACCTGGCTAAAGTATTACAAAAAAACCACAGATGACTTACTTTATTGTACAACTACTTATAGCCACATATCATCTGAACACTGCTCAGCATAAATGAAGAGAAATACAAACAAAACATTGTAGCCTAGCTTTTATTTTACTAACAAAAGAAAGAAATAGTTAGGAAGAAATACATATAACATAATATCACCGGAAAGAAAAGCATCTTAAGGTGACCCAGCATGAAAAACTACAGT